CTAAACTCAAAGGACTAAACTCAAAGAACTAAACTCAAAGGACTAAAGTAGTATTAGTAGTAGTAGTATTAGTAGTAGTTTTAGTAGTTGTAGTAGTATTAGTAGTAGTATTAGTAGTAGTAGTAGTATTAGTAGTAGTATTAGTATTAGTTTTAGTAGTTGTAGTAGTAGTAGTAGTATTAGTAGTAGTAGTATTAGTAGTAGTATTAGTATTAGTTTTAGTAGTTGTAGTAGTAGTAGTATTAGTAGAGGATTTATTTAGTTTAAAACTAACCTCTGACCTCATTCTGAGTCTTAACTTTAGAGTTGTGTTTCCTCCGACAATGCAGTGCAACATCTAACATTATTCTGCTGACTTCATCCTGTAAAACAGCTGAGAGCTGATCATCATCATCTTCCTCCTCCTCCTCTTCTTCCTCCTCCTCCTCTTCCTCCTCCTCTTCCTCCTCCAATAAAGGACAGTTCTGCCTAGAAACCGTTTTTCTTTCTTTGCAGACGGTCACATGACCTGTGTTTATTTTTCCTTTTTTTATTTCACAACCTCGCTGAACTTGAAAATTAAGATGAACCGGTGTCTCCTCTCCTCTCCTCTCCTCCTCTCCTCTCTTTCTCTCTGAGTGATGAAGATGTTGGTTCATGGGGTGAAGTGAGGACTTTTCTCTCCTCTTCATCAAACACTTGAGACACGAATCACAAACCAGCTCTTTGTCTTCATCTCAGACAGGAAGATGTATCACCTCCACCTTCCTCACCCTTCCTCCTCCTCCTCCTCTTCCTCCTCTTCTTCGTCTTCCTCCTCCTGGTTGTTTATGTCACAGTGATGATGGTGATGATGAAGATGGCCTCCCGCCGCAGCTTAAAGGGTTAACATGCAGCCACAACAAAGGAGCAGACATGTGCACGAGAGTGTGTGAGGGAATGAGGGAGGAAGGGAAGGAAGGGAGGAGGGAGGAAGGGAAGGGAGGAGAGGAGGGAGGAGGGAGGGAGGGAGGGGGGTTTAGCCCCGCCCTGGAATTCTTTACTGGAGAGGCTGTTTACAACCTCGATGCATAGGAGTCCCCGAGTTCATTGGCCTGGGAGGAGGAGGAGGAGGAGGAGGAGGAGGAGGAGGACGGAAACGGTACAGGAAGAAGACAATGAGGAAATGTGTGGAGGGCCTCTGATTCTCCCTTTGTCTGATTCCTCTCTCTTTATTTGATTGTTTCTGTCTTCAATGTTCACACGTCTGAGTGCAGGACACAACCAATAAACCATCAGCATAAAAGAATATACTATATACAGTATCAATCATAATAAACCTGTTTCTCTCCTGTTTAATTTGCTTTTATAGAAACGTATAGAAGACTAGAAATATGTATATATATATATATTATATATAATATATATAGATATTATATATATAACAGATATAAATATAACATATATATAATATATATATACGGTCGATTAATGAGCACAAAATAAACTGAATATAAAAACATCAAGTTGATAAACATTTATTTTAGTGCTGGGCAAGTTAACGCCGACAATTATTCTGTCTCTCTGTCCTTCTCTCTCTCTCTCGCTCTCTCTCTCTCCTTCCCTCCCTCCCTCGCGCCTCCCTCCTCGCGCTTCTCCCGCCCAACCTTTCCCCCAGTTGGAGCGCGCGCTGCCGGGTTCAGCGAGTTTACTCTGACACCGCTGACTCCCCTCCTGGCCACGCCCCCGAAAGCCCCGCCCCCCGCGTCTGGCCAATCGCGTTGCCGACCCACGAGTACCGATCACGCACCGCCTCTTCTGTGATTGGCCGCGGCCCGCTACACCTTTGCCTCTGATTGGCTGCGTGTTACCAGACCGCCAGACTGCTCTGAATGTTGTTTCTGTGTTTTATTTTTTCTGTAATATATGTTTGTGTTGTGAGTGACTCCACTCAGCGGAAGACAGGCGCGTTTTATTGTCTCGCGCTCCTGTCTCTGCTTTACTTCCTCTTCCTCGTGCGCCCCTGTCAGGTGAGTCTTCCTCGCGCTCCGGCACGTGTTTTTTTTATTTCTTCTTCTTTTATTATTAACAAGTTGTTTGCACGTTTTATTTAAGACTGAACCCAGTGGCTCCTGTGTGTGTGTGTGTGCGTGCGTGTGTGTGTGTGTGTGCGTGTGTGTGTGTGCACAACAGTTGCATCGCTGTGTGATAAAGTTTGTTTTTTTACTAGTTTTTATTGTTGGTGAGTAGAACTGATTCTAGGCTTTTATTGCAGCTTATTATACATATAATATATTTATATATATATATTTAAATATCTGACAAAGTGACAAATGTCATTATCAGTCAAACTATAATAATGATGTAATAAAAGAAAGCTCATATGACAATAACATGTAACTGTCACAATAACTGAATTAATATCTATTTACATTATTTTGTCAGTTAATATGCATCTCATTCATTCTGGTGTTTATAGTCAGAAAATAGTGAAAATGTCCGTTTGAAGTTTAACTATATTACATGTTTTATATATTTAAAATAATTTAGTGTGAAATCAAAGAAGACTAAACAAATAAACATTTGCTCACTAAGTGTCAGAACATTTGAATACTGATCGATCAGTAACATTTGTATTTATTAATCTGTGTGATTGTGGATAAACGTGTCTGCTGTGATGCGTTTGTGTGATCTTAAGCGTGGGAAATTACAGCGCCGGTGACGAAACGGTGTGTTGCAACAGATTGACTTTGTTGTTCTTTCAACTACACTTCCTGTTTGGCGCTTCCTCTCTCTCTCTTTGGGGTGAGACGTGCATGTTAATAAGGGAGGATGTGGGGGCGGGGCTTGTTTGGAGGGGGGGTGTAATATCTGGCACCTCCGGTCATCTATTCTGGGTGCAGGGGAGGTTCCCGTTCAGGTCTGAGCCAGACGCTGGGTTTTTTATACATCTTATTGTGGTAGGGCAGCTCAGGAGGAAGTAGCCAACAGTGACATCATTGGTCATTAAAGGGTGGTGTGCGCTTTTGTTCCCAAAAGGAAGAAGAAGAAAGGAACAGGATGATATAGACTGCTGGTTGATGACCAGCTGTTGAGTTTGTTGCAGTAAAAAAAATGAGGAGTCGGTGAACATTTTGCATCCCTGAACAGAATTTTTGGACATATAATAACAAAGAGAAATGTCAGAGCATCAGTGTGTTTTAATTTGAGAAGGAACAGTCCGGGAGCTAAGACTGATCCATGTCCACAGCGCCATTTGGGATCCCAACTCATAACTCATTTACATCATCAGCGGTTAAACTTTTTGGGCACGAAAGACCATTTTCATTCGAGAAGTACCAGAAATAATGTGTGTACTCGGCAGCACACATTTGGAGTCCCAACTCATATTTACATTTCCTGTGAAGATACTTTATTTTAAACATTTTCTGGACAAACAACCTTATGAATCATCGTGTTCATGTTAGAAGTACAGAACCACGAGGCAGACAGCAGAACACATTTGGGATCCCATCACAACTTTAAGTCTACAGATGTAGTCGTGTAGTGATGACCTCATGTTGTATCAGCAGGATATATTGATACATTTTAGACTTCTGACCTCTCCTCGTTAATTAAATAAAACCTGCAACCCGACCTGTCTGAGATCAAACAATCAGATGCAGTGAGTACTGGAACACAGCAGGGAATCCAGGACGAGACAAGAGACGAGGGGAACCAGGCAGGACGAGACAAGAGACGAGGGGGACCAGGCAGGACGAGA